GCAGACGACCTTGTTTTATTAGCATCTTCTGAAACTGATCTTCAGTGCTCCTTAGAAAGGTTCGCAGCCGCGTGCGACTTGACCGGCATGCGTAGGAGCATCTAGAACGAAAACCATAGTGCCTTCTCTTTCTCCTGCCCGTTGCTCTCTTCAGATTAATGGAGAGGCAGTGGAGCAGGTGAAGAAGTTCAAGTACCTAGGAGTCGTATTTGCTAGTGGTAGAAAATTTGCTGAAGGGATCGACCGGTGAATTGAAGTAGCTAGTGGCGTTCTGCGTGAACTAGCCTGAACCCTTGTGACTAAGGTAGAGCTGATTCTGAACACTAAGTTCTCGGTATTCAAGTCGATCTTTCTCCCCATGCTTACATACGGTCATTAGTCGTGGGCCATGACTGGAAAATTTCGAACCCGGCGACAAGCTTTTGAAATGGGCCTTTTTAGACGAGTCGATGTCCTTACGTGTCTCGACATGGTGCGGAATACAGACATCCGGGAGAGCCTTGGTATTCAGCCTTTACTTCTCCAGACTGAGAAGTCACAGCTGCGATGGCTTGGGCATGTGTTGCGAATGCCTGCAGAAAGGAAGGCTAAGCAACTGTTCCTTGCAAATCCGACTGGCAAAAGGCCCAGGGGACGGCCATGATTAACCTGGTGCAAACATATGGAAGGAATCTGTTCCAGATTGCATTTGTCTTTTGCCGAAGCTGAGGCTCTGGCACAGGATCGGGAACGTTGGAACTCTCTCTGACGCGTTTGCTTCTGCGACCCAAAAGTGGAAGCGGCTATAGAAGATACAATTCATTTTTATGAGTAAATTTGCATTTAAAATGTCATTTACGATTGTCTATCTGGTCTGTCGGGATCAAAATTGATATATTTTTGAACTTTCGATGTGTGGCTTTTGGTCAGTGTGTCGGCTGGCATGTGGATGAGATGTGCGTCTAGTTCTCTCACGTCGATAAAGAGCGGACCACCTGGCAAATTGAGTTCTCTCTCAATAATTGATGAACATCAGCTTCTCATGTATCGAGTTTAGTTTTTACTGAAAGACGACCGGAATGAAACAGCCAATGTTTTGAAGCCGCTTGGATACCGCGAAGTCGCTTGCCACTGAGCCTTTTCTGATGAAAATCAGTTTTACACATAAACATATAGTTGGACATAGCGTAGCTTCCATTTCCACGTCTTGTGATAGATTAGACGATATTTCGGTGCTGAACTGTTTTCTATGTATTGCAGTTTAACGACGATGGTTTGGGAGTGAACTGCGAAAACAAAAATTATTCTGCCGTCGACACATTGTACTTCTGACGCGTTCCGCACAGCCTCCAAAAGTTTCAACTCCAGCTTTGACCCAGACGGCAAAAGATCTTATGCGAACTCATATCGACTAGCCTAAAGCTGTTAACGACCGCTAATTAAGACTAATTTTTATACTGAGTAAATTAACAACATGAATTGCGAAAAACAGATTCAAACTCGATTTATATTTACACAACGTAAAACATATGGTCAGTCACCTGAGTGTTTATACTGTTTTTCGGTATGATCACTGCGCAGGTGAAGTGTGGTACAAAGATAGCCCAAGCAGATGTTAGCACAAACAATACAAAATCGGTCAATCCGAAAATACGGCACTCCTTACCAATGATTCAGTTCTTTCTCATGACAAAGGAAACGATTATCGGTTGCCGTTCTGACGTGCAGATCTTCAGATCTTAAATCGTGTTCAGCGTAGGGCAGACAAGAAAAGTCAATTAATTGCGAAGGATTTTGCGTATACACTTACACCCGACATTTTGCAGGTCTTTGGGTTGCAAGTGAATAATCGATTTTCTCACAATCCATAATGGTCAATGGCCACGTTGGCCACTGATCGACACTTATTCAGAATCGGAAGAGCGGGAATCTGTTGCCAAGCACCGATAGGTAGTGTAGCGTTTTGTATTCTTTTAGACATCGCGGTTTTCCCGGATGCCAGATGCTAGAAGAAATTTGAGGCACAGCAAAAAATGCAAAGACTCGCATAGTACTGATCCCGCTTACCGTATGAGGGGACGTTAATTCTCTTTTGCTTCAAATCTTATGCAAATTAAAATTTTCTTCGACGGTTTTACACTTTCTTCATTTCTTTTCATTTTTAACACCATACAAGATTTATGTCCGCTTACGGGGAGGGGCTAATTTCCCAGACTCATGAAACCCAATTTTGGTGAAGGATGCGATTACTAATGTTTTCCGTCGCGTTGGCATATTTCGCTACATTATCAATAAAAGTAAAGGTTTTGAAATGTTAACAGTCGGAAAGTCCGTAAAAACTTGAATCGTCAAAGCCGCTGAAGCGACTAAACTATGCCAAGCATTGGCCAACAAGCCAAAACATTAAAGACTTTTACTGCTTCTGCTGAGAAAGACCGTGCGATATTATTTTCTGTTGAAACTTTACATTGCTTATTTTCCGTGTAGTAGCAAAGACTGTTTCAAAGCTTTCTTGATGTACGCGAAATTCTTTGATAAATCTTCAGTTCATTTTGATCAAAAGTTAATCTATCAAAATTTCAGTTAAAGCCAGTTCTTCAAGCAAAATAGCGTTCAAGTTTCATAGTCGATAAATCGCACAAATTAATGCAAAACATACGGCTTATAATTAACAATTATGCAAATCTGGTCAACATATTTTCGTTAGACTTCCTCTTGCAGGTATTGCTTAACAATGCTGGAAAATTCTTCATAATCAATGACGCCGTTGCCGTCGATATCTATTTCTTGGAAAATATGATCGATGATTCTATCGTTACCAATGTCTCCAAGCATTTTCATAACTTCTCGAAATTCTGCTTCTGTGATAACGCCATTCTTTTGCTAAATTTAAATGTAAGAATGAAAGTAGTACAAGTTTTCAATCAGAGATTAATTTATAAAAGTTTCGATTTATAACACTGATTCATTGTCATTGTCGTTGCCGACTATTTTTTAAGTGAGTTCTGCCAAAATTAGCAGCAGTTCATATGAAGCCTTAAAAAAGATATTGAGTTATCATCCAATGGTATGATGTTTCATTCATTGCTGTTTGCAGGGGCTGATTGTCAGCCGCGCGGCATTGTTATTAGCAGCTTAATCTGTCTTCTTTAAGAGTGAGGCTGCTACAAGATCTCGCAACTTCAAATGCATCAACAGCATTAGCGTTGCTAGCTGTAATTTTGCATGCTAACCATCAAAGCCACAAAATCGAATGGCAATCTGTTGTGCTCCTTCCAGAAAAATTTGAACAGCCTAAAATGCATTCAAGTTTCATTACTGAACCGTAATTAATCAGCCATTAATACTTGTCTGTACAGCTCATCTATCAAATCCAGCTTTGTGACCAGTAATGTTGCTAATAAAACAGTCGAAACTAACAGGGGCTCCTGACGAAAACGACATTGCAGTGGAGCTCATAGAATCAGTGAACCATTGATCAAAATGTTATCGCGCTTGTTTTGGCGCTGTCCGATGGAACTACAAATTCCAGACAATTGACCTATCGCATCTGTGATTCTACTCCACAGAAAGAAGTCAACGAGAATTTAAAGAACTACCGGCCGATCCGTTTGTAATCAATTGTCTACAAGATCTCCACAAAAGCACTGACGAACAAGCTACAAGAAAACTGGACGCTGCACAGCCACAGAAGCAGGCATGGTTCAGAAGTTTGATTCGTACAATGGATCATCTACATTGTAGTACAACAAGAAGTTCAGACAAGCAACGAATACATTTCTCTCTGCCTGGGGTACGCCGATTTCGTGAAGGCTTTCGACTCAATCTACATCCGTTCTGCACTGGATTCCTTAAAGAGCCATAGAATCGAGAAAAGATGGAGAAGCGTTATCACCTTGATTTACAGGGATGCAACTACTAGTGTGAAACCATGTAGCCACAAGCAAATTCAAATTCGAAAAAGGCGTCTGACAGAGAGATGCATGTGACAGAAGTTGTTTACGGCAGCCCCAGTTTTCAATGCACTCCGTTGGGAAAATTAGGGCTGAATATGAGATATGAGTTTATGCTTCCTAAGCTACCCTCGGTTTGAGAACTATATTCTCATCCTCTCAAGGTTGCCAGTATAGTCTCAAAAAATTCAAGAGCTGAAGGACGACAACATCAGAGAAGGACTGAAAATAAAAGTGAGGAAGTATCAGGTGACGTTTAACAATTGCAAGACCACGCGACCTGTCAAAGGACTTGGTCTTAAAGAAGTACGAATTTCCGTCAATCTGGAAAAGCTCATCCCTGCAAAGTAGAACCGACTATGTAAAATCAACAGAATAACAGAAATGGCATTAAGCACTCTTGGAAGACTCAAAAGATTCCTATCCAGGAAATTGCCTTGATGCTAGAAAGAAAATGTTTTCAATCAGTGTGCACCCAGTGCTAAACTTTGAGTTCGAAACATGGACAATAAGCCTGAAAGCTATTCTTAAACTGCATGCTATGCAACGGAGTGTGGAAAGATGTATGTTGTGAATAACAAGCAAAGATTGGAAGACGAATAAATGGGCAATGGTACAAGTAAGAGTCTGCTATGTCACTGCCCGAGTGAAGAAGTTAAAGTAGCTTTTGGTTTGACAGGTCGCAAAAAGAAAACAGACTTGGATAAGAGAGACATTAGACTGGGTTCTCAGGGGAGATTAAACGGCCCGTTTGAAGACTCCTGATCGATGGCACGATGAGCTGAAGAAGTTTCCTAGATCAAAATTGATGAAAATAACAGTTAGCAAAAGTTTATAGCAATGCATTCATCGAGCAGCAGATTGAGAAAAGCTCATAATGATGATGAAATCATGGACACATGACATTCTCGAATCTTTCACCAATCCGGAAAATAGATTTTCTGTAACATGAATTACTGAAATATACTATAGCAGTTGCTGGCCGGTTTTGAATTCAAAGTAGTGACATGCAAATTTCTAGGATATCTCTTGGTGGAATGGCTACCTTCTCCGAAACAGAAGGCGCTCATGTGTTTCGCTCAAAGTGGCACAACTTCCTGAGAAATATGCACTGTGATTATGTTCATTCAAGATTGGGACTTCGCAAACTACGACATGATTTTTATCAATGTGAAGGCCTTCTCATTGAAATCACTGTTATACAGTTACATGTTTCAGCAGCCACCGATCCTGAAGAATATGTGGCATCGACAACAAGATCCCATAGATGCAACCCTTTACGGGATATTCTGTGCGTAAATAGTGATTTGGGGGGCAAACTTTAAAAGCGAAGATCTACAAGCTTGACTAAGCGATGAAATAGCTACAAATTTAATGAACCAATGCAAAGGCTTAGTCTACTGGGTAAATTGAATGGGTTTTTCACGTACTTCCATAAGAGAAATTAAACGTGGAATTGTCGAACAGTCAAGCAGTTTATTGTATTTTATTATCTTAAAGGTCGAGGATGAGTGCTGTGAATTGTTAACTATGCACAAGGAAAAACAGTAGCGGTCATCATAAGCTCCTCCCTCTAAGAAAAACAGAAAAATATGAATCAGTGGCCAAAATTTAGCTCTGGACCATTTGCTTCTACTAACGTGGAATTGCTAAAGTCAGCTTAGCTAAAATGCTTAGCATTAAGTAACCTGTGAGAGGATCGAAATTTTAGTGTTACATAGCAGTAGCAGTTTTATGAAAGTCCTAACATACTTGATCAAACACTTCGAAGCATTGCTTCACTACTTCGTCAAAAGTCACTTTCTTTGCCGTTATCTTGCGCATCACGTTGCAGAACTCGCCGAAATCAATTTCGCCGTTGCCGTCCTGATCAACCTCGGCAATAAGATTTTCCAGTTCGTCCGGTTTCGTAGTCAGTCCTAGTTTTCCCATTGCAATCTTCAATTCTTCTCTGCCTATTGCTCCACTTCCATCTAAGTTTCAACATGTGGTACAAAGCACGACAAACTTTCTTTACCCGTGTCAAACATAGAAAAAACTTGCCGGTACTCCTGTAGTTCTTCTTCAGTGTAGTTTGGCGACTTAGATGAGCTG